AAGTTGCAATGCTGAGTGTATCGATCTTGATGTACCGTGCCGAAATCTGTGCTGTGCTGCGCCGTGCTGAATTGCGATGTGCCATGCCGCGATTGTGCTCTATAGCCTCGTGGATCGAGTCCTCCTTTGCATCCGAGTCCTGACCGAACTGATCTGGATCTTAAGCTCGAGCTGCCTGAACACATAGTAGCTGCCCCAGAGCTAATGGACAGGGGGGCATGCCAGGGGGACGCGACGCGGAACGTCTCCAGGGACCCGCCAAGCGACGTGCCAAGGGACGTGCCATGGGGACGCACCGCGGGACGTGCCAAGGGGACGCGCTACGGAACGTGCTGGGGACAAGCGTTTCGCTCGAGACATCCTGCCAACATCCTCAGAATTCCTGCGCGCGGGACGCGGCACGCGCGAGACATCCTCGGAATTCTTGCGAGCGGGACGTGAAAACAAGCATTTCGCCTGAGACACCCTCTGAATTCTGGACCCCCACGAGGCCCCCCACGAGGCCCCTGCTCGAGACATCCCCCAACTTTGCAAAACCAGCGTTTCGCTCGAAACGTCTTCAACAAATTATGAAAGACAAGCATTTCGCTCGAGACATCCTGCCAAAATTCAAGGAAATCCTAGCAAAACAAACGAATTAGTCGAGACATCCTCGAAATTCCTGCGCGCGGGACGCGGCACGCGCGAGACATCATCGGAATTCCTGCGCGCGGGGCGCTTTTCCGTGTCGCGGTCGGCTCTGCAAAACCAGCGTTTCGCTCGAGACATCCTCAACAAATTCTGAAAACAAGCTTTTCGCTCGAGACATCCCCAACTCTGCAAAACCAGCGTTCCGCTCGAGACATCCTCAACAAATTCTGAAAAACAAGCGTTTCGCTAGGGACATCCTCAATCTTTAATTCGCCGGCCCTACGCGACCTCGTTATTTATCGCAAAAGAAATTCGCCGGCCCTACAGCCGTCAAAACCGGGGGGAAACAAACTAAAAGAGAACCCTGGGCCTGCGCCCTTTCCGGGAAAAACTGGGTGCGATGCCGTCCGCCCCCCCCTTCCCCCCGCCATTCCTAGCAAATTAGCCTGGCGAAGGACCCAACCATATGCAGTTGTGAGCTTCGTCGTTGTATGCACTGCATTCGGAGGAGCTCCCTATAAAGCTGCGACGCGTGCGAATGGCGTGCCAAAATGGGTGTCGCGGGCGCATGTGCATGCAGCCACTGGAGCCGTCGGCGGGGTTCCTGTGGGGCCACGAAACGTGTGAGGGGTGTACCCAAATGTGTAGGGTGGGCGCATGCGAACGCAGCCATTGCGGGCGTGGGTGGAACTCCCTCTGGCGCCGCGAAACGCGTGAGGGGTGTGCCGACATGGGTGCGGTCGGCGCATGCGAACGCAGCCACCGGAGCCGTCGGAGGAGCTCCTTATGGGGCCGCGACGCGCGCGAGGGTGTGCCGAACTAGGTGTGGTGGGCGCATGCGAACGCAGTCACAGGGGCCGTCGGTGGAGCTCCCTATGGAGCCACGGAGCGTGTGAGGGGTGTGCCGAAATGAATGCGGTGGGCGCGTGCCAACGCAGCCGCTGCGGCCGCCGGTGGAGCTCCCTATGGGGCCACAAAACGCGTAAGAGGTGTCCCAAAATGGTTGCGGTGGGCGCACGCGAACGCAGCCACTGTGGCCGTCGGTGGAGCTCCCTATGGGGCCACGAAGCGTGTGAGGGGTGTGCCACAATGGGTGCGGTGAGCGCGTGCGGACGCAGCTACTGGGGCAGTCGGTGGTTTTCCCTATGGGGCCACGAAGCGTGTGAAGGGTGTGCCAAAATGGGTGCTGTGGGCGCGTGAAACCGCAGTCGCTGCGGCCGCCGGTGGAGCTCCCTCTGGGGCCACGAAACGTATGAGGGGTGTGCCGAAATTGGTGCGGTGGGCGCAAGCGAACGCAGTTGGAGAAGCTCCTTGTGGGGCCGCGAAACATGTGAGGTATGTGGCAAAATGTGTGCGGTGGGCGCATGCGAACGCAGCCACTGTGGCCGTCGGTGGAGCTCCCTCTGGGGATACGAAACGTGTGAGGGGTGTACCATACAGGGTGCGGTGGGCGCATGCGAACTCTGGCATGTGGACCTGCCTTGGAGCCCCCTTGCGGGGCCACGAAACAGATACATGCGGAGGCCAAAGGCAAGGAGGGAGGAGGAGGGGGAGGTGGAAGGAAGGAAGGAAGGAAGGAAGGAAGGAAGGAAGGAAGGAAGGAGTGACGCGGGGAGCTGTCTCTTCAAACATGATGGACCCACGAACCCGGAAAGGGATATAGACATGTGGAGCATGGACACGTTTTCATGATACCCAACTGGGCAACACCTCACGAAACATCCCACGAGACACCTCACGAAACAGCCCACGAGACACCTCACGAAACATTCCACGAGACACCTCACGAAACATTTCACGAGACACCCCGCGAAACATTCCACGAGACACCCCACGAAACATTCCACGACGACAGGCAACCACTCAACCAAGGCGGTGTGGTCGTGCTGGGGAGTGGTCGTGCTGGGGTGTGGTCGTGCTGGGGGTGGTCGTGCTGGGGGTGGTCTGGGGGGGTTGTCGTGCTGGGGGGTGGTCGTGCTGGGGCGTGGTCGTGCTGGGGCGTGGTCGTGCGGGGGCGTGGTCGTGCTGGGGCGTGGTCGTGCTGGGGTGTGGTCGTGCTGTGGTAAGGTCGTGCTGGGGTGCGGTCGTGCTGGGGTGTGGTCTTGCTGGGGTGGGGTCGTGCTGGGGTGTGATCGTGCTGGGGTGGGGTCGTGCTGGGGTGTGGTCGTGCTGGGGTGTGGTCGTGCTAGGGTGGGGTCGTGCTGGGGTGGGGTCGTGCTGGGGAGTGGTCGTGCTGGGGTGTGGTCGTGCTGGGGTGTGGTCATGCTGGGGCGTGGTCGTGCTGGGGTGGGGTCGTGCTGGGGTGGGGTCGTGCTGGGGTGGGTTCGTGCTGGGGTGCTCCGCACCCTGTGATTTTATCGGGTCGTCGATGCTGGGGTGGGTCGTGCTGGGGTGTGGTCGTGCTGGGGTGTGGTCGTGCTGGGGTGTGGTCGTGCTGGGGGGTGGTCGTGCTGGGGGGTGGTCGTGCTGGGGGGGTGGTCGTGCTGGGGGTGGTCGTGCTGGGGCGTGGTCGTGCTGGGGCGTGGTCGTGCTGGGGCGTGGTCGTGCTGGGGTGTGGTCGTGCTGTGGTGAGGTCGTGCTGGGGTGTGGTCGTGCTGGGGTGTGGTCTTGCTTATCGATCGGGTCGTGCTGGGGTGTGGTCGTGCTGGGGTGTGGTCGTGCGTGGGGGTGTGTGCTACTCGTGCTGGTGTGTGTGGTCGTGCTGGGTGTGGTCGTGCTGGGGCGTGGTCGTGCTGGGGCGTGGTCGTGCTGGGGCGTGGTCGTGCTGTGGTTGAGGTCGTGCTGGGGTGTGGTATTGCTGGGGTAGGGTCGTGCTGGGGTCGGGTCGTGCTGGGGTGTGGTCGTGCTGGGGTATGGGTCGTGCTGGGGTGGGGTCGTGCGTCGGGCTGGGGTCTGGTCGTGCTGGGGTGTGGTCGTGCTGGGGTATGGTCGTGCTAGGGTGGGGTCGTGCATTTCGCTCGAGACATCCTGCCAAAATTCCAGGAAATCGTACAAAAACAAAGGAATTAGTCGAGACATCATCGAAATTCCTTCGCGCGGGGCGCTTTTCCGCGTCGCGGTCGGCTCTGCAAAACAAGCGTTTCGCTCGAGACATCCTCGGCAAACTCTGCGGAGCAAGCGTTTCGCTCGAGACATCCTCAACACACGAAAAAGTGGCCCGCACCCTGTGATTTATCGATCGGGATTTCAAAAACAAGCTTTTCGCTCGAGACATCCTCAAATTTTAATTCGCCGGCCTCCTTCGACCTCGTTATTTATCAGGGAAAAAATTCGCCGGCCTCCCTCAAGTTGGCACCGGGGGACAGGTTTACCAACTAAAAGAGAACCCTGGGCTCATGCCCTTTCCGGGAAAAAAGGACCCAAGACCACAGGATGCTTGGGGGGAAAAAACAAGACACTATACACTTTGCGCCAACATCTAGATCATATTCCGGCGCCCCGCGACCACTTCATACCTACCACCCTTGCGAACCAACAATATTCACAATGCGCGTTGCGGCAAAATGCTATTTTCCCATCGCACCACGAACGCAACGAGAGCAACGGACACACCCAGCTATAAGCCTCGATCCCAGGCCGACTCGTACCGTCACAGTAATGGGCCGAGGACTGGCCGATAGCAGAGTGCTGATCTCACCATCAGAAGCGAAACTCGCTCGGGCGCTCCGTGGAAAAAGCGCGGCCGCCGCGCCCCAGCGCGAGGAGCGCGGACCGCCGTGTTTAGCGTGACCGCTCTTCGGATGTGATGGTGGCCAGGATGAGAACGAGGACGACTGGGAGATGAGAGGGAGAAGAAGCCGTGAGTGAGGAGGCGCAGGCGTCCAAATAGCAATAACACAAGACGCCGATGCGGCTGCTCCCTGGACCTCTGCGGGCGCGCGCCACGGCAAGGAGCTCGGGGAGCGCGCGCGCGCAAAGCAGACAAACAAAACAAGTGCGATCGGGCCTCCTGCCCGCGCAGCAGCCCAGCGCGAAGACTCCGCATGGAGGTGGACCTTGGGGGAGGAGGGGGAGGAGGAGGAGGAGGAGGAGGAGGAGGAGGAGGAGGAGGAGGAGGAGGAGGAGGAGGAGGAGATGAGGAGAAGGAGAAGGAGGAGGAGGGGGAGGGGAGGAGGAGGAGGAGGAGAGAGAGGAGGAGGATGAAGGAGGAGGAGGAGGAGGAGGAGGAGGAGGAGTTGGAGGAGAGGGGGTGGGGAGGAGGAGAGGAGGAGGAGGGAGGAGGAGGAAGAGGAGAGGAGGAAGAAGGGGAGAAAAGGAGGAGGAGGAGAGAAGGAGGAGGAGGAGGAGGAGGAGGAGGAAGAGGAGGAGGAGAAGGAGGAGGATGAGGAGGAGGAGGAGGAGAAGGAGGAGGGGGAGGAGAAGTAGGAACAGGAGGAGGAGGAGGAGGAGGAGGAGGAGGGGCAGGAGGAGGAGGAGAAGGAGGGGGAGGAGGAGGTGGAGGAGGAAGAGGAGGAGGCTGGGCGCGGGGGGGTACAGAGAGGCAATGGCTGCAGGCCTGGCAGAACCTGGCCCCTGCAGCTGCAGCCCCCCTCGCGACTCTACCGCCCTGGCACCCTGCGAGGGGCGAAGGACGGAGGTGCGTGTGTGCATGTGCATAAATGTATGAATGTATGGGTATATTTACACGTATGTGTGCAAACGCCTCGTGGGCGTGATGCAGTACGCGGTCGCGGACGCCCGAAGCAAGGAACCCGGATGCTCAGAGGGGGAATCAGTACTCGTTGATCTGGCGTCGGGGCAAGTTTTTGCCACACACTGCCGAGACTTCACTGACCATGTATTTTCGGGTCGGGCGATAGGGGGGGATAGCAAAGGGGGGATTTGAGAATCAGCTCACGGAGCTGATTTTCCCGGCGCCTCCCGGCGCCGGAGGCGGCTATGTATCGAGGAATGGGCCCCTCGGTAAGGCCGAAACCAGCTGCATGCAGCAAATTTCGTACCCCCCCCTTTCCCAATCCCCCCCTTTCGTCCGGCCCGATATTTGTGGTCCACACTTGCAAACATGTGTAGACATAAGCTGCACAAACTGCATTGAGAAAGCCGAACTGTCACGGACTGCGCACCATGGCCCCGTCAACTGAGGTGGCACTGGCCTTGCACTGAGTCCTCGCAGCTCTCAGGTAGCATTACACGTGGATGCGAGGCCGACTACCAGCGGGGCACGTGAACACGATTTGGGCCCTGGATGTCTACCAGCATCTGGTGGCACCCCCGGAGCAACTGAAGCATCTGCAATGCCTCGATGGACATCGAAGAGAGTGCAAGGCAGCACACGCCCTCAATAAACTCATCTTTGTCTATCTCACCTGACTTGTCTTTGTCCACGAACTCAAACATGTCAACCAGGTGCTCGGGGTCGATCATTGAAGATATGTCCTTCGGGAAAATAAGCTTGCCTTCCTGGTGCATACCATGCAACTCTTGAAACGAGATGGTGCCGTTGTTGTCCTTGTCGACGATTTCAAACATCGCCTCAAGATTCGGAATGTTCTTCTGCAGCACCTTGCGATTGATCGCCTGCTTCAAGTCGGCCTCCTCGCGCCCCAATGAAAGGGCGCTGTCCACGATGACGGCTGTAACAAGATTCATCAACGCCACGGCTATCACCATCCACAGTCCGCAGAAATACAGCGTCAGCAATGGCTCCTCCTGCATGAGTGGGTAATATATGCTTGCAATGCTGTCCTGGGTCGCGAACTGCATCAACGTCAGCATGAACTCCGGTAGACTCGCAAACCTCGATTCGACTATCTTGCGGGTCTCGTCGTTCGCATTGAGTTTCTCTGAGTGTGTTATCAGGTCGACTCCTAGAACAGAGAAGCTGAACAAAGAAACGAACACCATCAAGCCTACCGACAACATTGTTCGTAGTGACCTCAGGAGCCCGCTACACAATCTGCATAGCTCGCTGAACGCGCTCATCATCCTGAAAGCCCTCACGGTTCGAAGGAGCCGGAGAATCCGCAGGGTCAAGAGCTGGGATACCAAAGGTACTTGCTGCACGCCCAAGGCTTTGACGATGGGCATCATGACCCAAGAGACGGCGATTCCGATGACAACGAGGGCGACGTCGAATCTAAACCAAGGGCTCCGAAAAACGGACTGGCCGTCCGCTACAAAACGCAGAATGGCCTCAAACAGGAACCATACCAAGAATATCGAGTCCAACCAAGATAAGATGATCACTTCTTTGTCCTCCAGCTTGAGCTGAACTTCTAAACCGATGAACACGCAATTCACCATGATGATCAAACCCATAACGGCGTCAAAGTATTGTCCGTGGACGAGCTTCTTGACTCTCGATTGCCACCATGGTAGGCTCGAGTCGAGGCTTGTAAAGCTGGTCCTCCGAAGGACGGATTTGAACTGTGTGCTCTTCCTGGAGATTTCCGTCTGACATTCCTCAATCGAAGACTGTGAAGAAGAAGAAGCACGCACCAGCTTGTCCATCTCTTTCAGCTCGTCCACCACGGCAGGAATCGCAGAGTCCTGCACCGCGGCCACTGGCTCGTCCGCGGTTTTCCCCCGGGGGTTCCTGCCAGTCAGCGGCGCCGCCTCGGCCGCCCTCTGCGCTCTCCCGACGGACGGCCTTCTGTCCGTGTGGCCAGCGTCGGCCGGCGGGATGCCCCAACACCCTGGGAGCCTGGCTGCCCCCTGCGGCGGCTGCCTGGCACTCCCGCCCCTGCGCGGCTGCGCCCAGATCTCCTCCCGCATCGCGGCCCGCACACAGCTGCGCAGCTGCTCCAGCTGCCTCGCCGAGAACTCGGCCGAGGCACGCGGTGACCAGCAGGGCCGCCAGGGCAGCTGGTCGCTGGACAGGCTGGAGCAGCCCGCGTCGCCCACCGGGGGGGGCGCCTCCAGCGACTCCATGCTCGCCGCCAGGGTGCCCGCCGTCCCCGCGGCGCCCCGGAGCGCGGGCGGCGCGGCGCGCGGCGCCGGCGCCGCCTCGCGGCGCTCCCTGCCGCCGCCCTCGCGGCGCTCTCGCCGAGAGCCCGACGCCGCGCGGCGCTCGCCTTGGCCCTGGCGCTGGGGCGCGGCGCCGTCGCTCTCGCGGTGCTGAGGGGGGTCGCCTGGGGGCGCGCCGAGGGGCGGCTGCTCCATGGGCGCCGCTGGGCGCCCGGAGGCGCACGGGGGGAGAGGCAGCCGGGCTCGAGCTGCAGGCTTGGGCTCAAATGGTTGCGGGGCGTTGCGGCAAAATGGACCGCGTGCGGGCGCTCCGCGAACATGTTGCGCTGTTACTTGGCAGGGGTGAGGGGGGTGAACTGGCACACGCGGCGCACGGCGCCCCTCACGGGCGTCATGCAACTGGCTGGCCTCTGACATGGTTGTCGACTTGATGTCGATTGCGGCACGTGTCCATGCTAAGACTCGGGCGCTACCGATACATTGTGCGGGCGGGTGGGTGTGAAGTGAACGAGATGGCTTGCGGCTTGTGGGTGTCCTGACCACTGCTAATTTCGGGCGTAGCCCGAATATGTTTCTCGCGAGGTAAAATGAACTGAACGGACCTGAACTGAATTGAACAGACTGGTCGCACCCGTTACGCAATGTTTTATTTCTCGGCGGTCAGGGGCTCAACCTATGGCGCAACCGATATAAGACGGCTTTATTCTCAGCCGCCAAGGGCGCAACCGATAGGAGACGGCTGTAATCTCGGCCGCCACGGGCGCAACCTGTGGCGCAACCGATAGGAGACGGTTCTATTCTCGGCCGCCAAGGGCGCAACCGATGGCGCAACCGATAGAAGACGGTTTTATTCTCGGCCGCCGAGGGCAGGAACTATTGCGCAACCGATAGGGGATGGTCATATTATCAACCGCAGAAGGTACAACCTATGGCGCAACCGATAGAAGACGGTTCTATTCTCGGCCGCCGAGGGGACAATCTATGGCGCAACCTATGAGAGACGGTTTTATTCTCAGCCGCCGAGGTCGCAATCTATGGCGCAACCGATGAGAGATGGTTGTAATATCGGCCACCAAGGGGGCAACCTATGGCGCAACCGATATAAGACGGCTCCATTCTCGGCCGCCAAGGGCGCAACCTATGGCGCAACCGATAGGAGACGGTTCTATTCTCGGCCGCCAAAGGCGCAACCTATGGCGCAACCGATATAAGACGGCTCCATTCTCGGTCGTCAAGGGTGCAACCTATGGCGCAACCGATAGGAGACGGCTCCATTCTCGGCCGCCAAGGGCGCAACACTTTGGCGCAACCGATCGGAGACGGTTTTACTCTCAGCTGCCGAGGGAGCAACCAATGGCGCAACTGATCGGAAACCGAGCTGGGGCAGGAGGAAGACGAGGAAGACGAGGAGGACGAGGAGGACGAGGAGGAGGATGACGACGACGATCCGGATGGGGAGGAGAACAGGTAGGATTACGAGCAGTACGAGGACGAGTAGGATGGGCATTCGAAGGCGTGTGGGACTACGCCCGATGTATACTCGCCGTTTGGGCTGGCGGTGGGGCCCAAACGGCGAACTGTCTTGTGGTTTTAACATACACCCCCTCCTCCATCCGACCAGCGACAAACCCGGAACAATGCCGACTGCCCCCTGCCATTTTGGCTCAAGCTGGACCGCGCCATTTTGGCTCAAGCCAGCTTCGCCTCACGAGCCTCAAGAAATCCCAAGGGCATAAGGGCCCTCAAGGGCCTCAAGGGACCCAAAGGCCCTCAACGGGGGGGACAATTCGTTAACCTTTTTTTATCATGACATTCCGCCTGCCCTTCCATTTCTCCTCACCAGACCACGCAAGTTTCGATCGTTTCTGGGTGCCCATTTCTTTGGTCACATAACTGAAGATGCCGACTGAAACATGATGGACCCACGAACCCGGAAAGGGATAAAGACATGTGCAGCATGGTCACGTTTTCACGATACCCAACTGGGCGACATCTCACGAAACATCCCACGAGACACCCCGCGAAACATCCCACGAGACACCTCACGAAACATTCCACGAGACACTCACGAAACATTCCACGAGACACCCCGTGAAACATTCCACGAGACACCCCACGAACAGGCAAACCACTCAACCAGACACGCCACGAAACATTCCACGGGGGTGCGACTGGGTGTGGTCGTGCTGGGGTGTGGTCGTGCTGGGGTGTGGTCGTGCTGGGGAGTGTCGTCTGGGGTGCTGGGGTGTGGTCGTGCTGGGGGGTGGTCTGCGGGGGGGTGGTCGGACGTGTCGTGCTGGGGGTGGTCGTGCTGGGGCCCGGTGGTAGTGATGGGGCGTGGTCGTGATGGGGGTGGTCGTGCTGGGGTGTGTCGTGCTGTGGTGAGGTCGTGCTGGGGTGTGGTCGTGCTGGGGTGTGGTCTTGCTGGGGTAGGGTCGTGCTGGGGTCGGGTCGTGCTGGGGTGTGGTCGTGCTGGGGTATGGTCGTGCTGGGGTGGGGTCGTGCTTGGGTGGGGTCGTGCTGGGGTCTGGTCGTGCTGGGGTGTGGTCGTGCTGGGGTATGGTCGTGCTAGGGTGGGGTCGTGCATTTCGCTCGAGACATCCTGCCAAAATTCCAGGAAATCGTACAAAAACAAAGAAATTAGTCGAGACATCATCGAAATTCCTTCGCGCGGGGCGCTTTTCCGCGTCGCGGTCGGCTCTGCAAAACAAGCGTTTCGCTCGAGACATCCTCGGCAAACTCTGCGGAGCAAGCGTTTCGCTCGAGACATCCTCAACACACGAACATGATGGACCCACGAACCCGGAAAGGGATATAGACATGTGGAGCATGGACACGTTTTCACGATACCCAAA